ATTATTCTTAGGCATAGTGAATCCAACTCTAGAGCCACAATCTATCTTTAGACCCAGATTTCCAATAAAGAACAAAAGCATAAAATAACTTTAATGTTATCAATACCCGAAAGACATCTGAACTCCTACTAACCTGAGGCCAGTGAACAGAGTGCTCAGAGATAAATTCTGAGCCCCAGCCATAAATGCAGTCATGGCAGCAGTGGTGACTGACTCCTGTTGGTACCAGAGACAGCAAAAATATCTGACCTATTTCTGTCTCAGCTCCATGTTTGCAACAAAACTTTTGGATACACCAGAAAATATAGATGGAAACTTTCCAACAAGACAAGCATACTCGACTTCTGAGAGAAATAGGCAAAAAAAAGAGAGATTACACTAGAAACAAACAAAACTTTCCAACCAGAGCCAGATGGGAAGGCTACATATTGCTATATGCCCTGGATGGAAGAATATTTGGGTCCCATCAAACCTCCTGCACATCCCAGACAGGGATCCCCCAGAAGAGAGCCAGACCATGACTCACCAGGAAGCCTCTATGAATGCTTGCTGCAAATCAATATGGTAGTTCACTCCCATAGTCTGCAAACTGAAGGCAGCCTGGGACTCTTGGAACTTCTCAAGGCATGTGCCACCTAAAGTGGCCCCTCAACCCTGGAATTCTGGAGTGAAGATTTAGCTTCAGAGTTTGAGTGGGTGGTCTGAATATCACTGGGGGCCTCAAGAAAATGTTAATCCCATTGGTTGAGAATAAAACCACTATCACAGTCCAAAGCCAAATTTGAAGCAAGGTTTAACTAATTACTGGCCAGGTAGATGGACTCTGGCCAGGCCCAAACCCATGTGTCTGGGGAAATGGCCAACAATTAAGTATGGTGAGGGCATAAGAAGGAAAATCCATAATTCATTGTATTTCCCATCAGGTCCAGTCAGGGACAAGCATATATCCTGACATGTTTCCTGCACTCATACCTTCTGCCCATATGTGATCAAGCACATTAGTGGCAGATCAGTCAAACATTTTTAGGGGAGTGAAGACATGTGGCTTCTTATCTCCCATAAAAAAATAGCCTCCAGAATATAAGAAACTATGTGTCCTTGGGATGGGGGCTTGAAGATCAGAGGTATTTTATGCCATGGAACTCTAAGGCACAGTAGTTAAAACTTAAAATGTAACTTTGGCTCTCACAGAGGCACACGTGTATTTTGACCATATTCACTCCTTTACCCAACCCTTATTTCTCTCTCCTCTTTACTTCTCCTCCTCATCTCCTTCCTTTTCCTACTCTTTACCTCTGTTAAGAGGTGTGTGTGTGTGTGTGTGTGTGTGTGTGTGTGTGTGTGTTACACATGGCATCAAATTCTCTCTATATATCATAGGTGCTTTGGGGAGAATTGGAGGGTTAGAGTGAAAAATGGATATGATCCAGAAACACAAAATATATGTATGAGACTTTCAAAGAATAAATTAAAATTTAAAACTAACATAAAACTAACAAAATTCAGTGTTTCAATTATTTTTAAGTGCATATTTTAGTATAACAGTAAGAGTGTTCATAATATTGTATGTTTGATAAAGTACTGAGTATATTGTAAATTCAATTCAAAAGTGTAAAGATTTTATTTTGTATTAACATGAAGGAAATGTATCATTGGGATTTGCAATGATTTTCCTAGTAATAAAACTATAGACACAATGAACAAACCTATATTAGTCAGATTTTATTACTGTGAAAAATATCAGAGCAAATAGAAAACAGGAGGGATAATTTTACTTAAATTTCAGGAATTTCGATGCATGGACACTTGACCCTGTGATCTCCTGACCTTTGATAAGATAATGAGTCATAGCAGGGTAAACCTAACAGGAAAATTTGCTTGATGGCAACAAAGAAGCAAAGGTGGTGGAAAGGGAACGTGATCCCAATAACCCTTTCAAGTGTACACCCCTGTAACCTAACTCCTTTCCATCAGTCTCCAATCTATTAAAATTTGCACAACTTCCAAAAGGGTCCAATAGCAGAGGATCAACACTTCAATATATGAGCCTTGCAAGGGAGGTGTAGAGAGTGTGGGTGGGAATTATGACACAATAATGAAAATATGACCTTCTGTACCCATGTACCATAAAACACAAACATTTCAAAACAAGAATTTATCCAAAGACTAACAAATATGTAATATATCTAAAAAAATGAACTTATCATTGTAAATAACCAAGGTACTGAAAATAAAACCACACACACACACTAGTCCAAAATATCTATTGTTGAAAGTAAGAGTTGACCAGTATTGGTGAGGGGTTAAATAAATTAGAATGCTTACTTACTATTTTTGGAGAAAAACAAAACTGCTATGGAAATTATAGCAGTAACTGTCCAAATTTTGGAAATTGAATTACCACATGTGCTAGTAATTTCTTTCTTATCTATCTCCACAAATGGAAGTCAGAATATGAATTAGATAAATAACATTCTTAGCATTTTTTCACAAGCATCAAGAGGGAGAATGAGCTAAATTATATCACTGGGTTCATGGCTAAAGGAAAATTTTCAGCTTTGTCAACTGTAAATACATTCCCTATGTTCAAGGATCAGTGTTAAAAATTATGTAGATCAAAGGGAAAATGTGGTAGAAAATGACAAACATGCTGATAGTTCTAAAGTCATAGAGTTTAATCTTTTTCCATTTTTTATTTAAATTAGAAACAAGATTGTTTTACATAGCAATCCCAGTTCCCTCTCCCTCCTCCCTCCACTGCCCCTTCCCAACTAACACCCTACCTATCCCATACCCTTTCTGCACCCCAGGGAGAGTGAGGCCTTCCATGAGGGATCTTCAGAGTATCATATCCTTTGGAGAAGGGCCTAAACCCTCCCCCATGTGTCTAGGCTGAGAGAGTATCCCTCTAAGTGGAATTGGCTCCCAAAGTCCATTCATTTGCTAGAGATAAGTACTGATCTACTACAAGAGGCCCTGTAGATTTCCGAGGCCTCCTCACTGACACCCATGTTCCTGGGGTCTAGATCAGTCCTATACTGGTTTCCCAGCTATCAGATGGGTACCATGAGCTCCCCCTTGTTCAGATCAGCTGTTTCTGTGGGTTTCACCAGCCTGGTCTGGACCCCTTTGTTCATCACTCCTCCCTATCTGCAACTGGATTCCAGTTCAGTTCAGTGTTTAGCTGTGTGTGTCTGCTTCTACTTCCATCAGCTGCTGGATGAAGTCTCTAGGATGGCATATGAGTTAGTCATCAATCTCATTATGAGGAGAGGGCATTTAAGGTAGCCTCTCCTCTGTTGCTTAGATGGTTAGTTGGTGTCATCCTTGTAGGTCTCTGGACATTTCCCTAATGCCTGATTTCTCTTTAAACATCTAATGGCTCCCTCTATTATGGTATCTCTTATCTTGCTCTCCTCTATTCTTCCTCTATTCTTTCCTCCACTCAAATTTCCTGCTCCCTTATGTCCTCCTCATCCCTTCTCTTTTCCCTTTCCCACTCTCCTAGCTCCCTCTTTCCTCCCCCCATGCTCCCAATTTGCTCAAGAGATCTTGTCCCTTTCCCCTTCTCCAGGGAACCATGCAAAATCAGAATTTATATTTGGAGATTAACCCAAGAGTTTGGTTCTATATGTGTTATTTTGGAGAAATCAATGAAAAATAGATAAAAGTATAAAAACAGACTCATCTAAGGATGGAACATAGAGTACCTATTTACAATACAAATATAGGATGAGTCAATGAAGTGACTAAGGTGACCCCATCTTGTCCTGACTCCATTTTGTTTCAAAGACATTTCTTAACCCTTTATTCTACCCCTGGAAAAGTCCTATCTCCCTTTTCACACATAGGCCTAGCCATAGCCCACATCTATTAACTAAACTAATTAATGCTTAAATCAAAATTAATTGTCATGTTGTGTCTAAAATAACTACTATTGTTTGCCTCCCCACAGGGGAAAAAAAGGTTTGCAAGGTCTCTGACTCTGACCCTCATCTAACACTGATGAACCTATGGGTATTGTGGGCTTCACCTTTTAAAATGCTATACACTTGAGCTTTGACACAAAGAGAAACTGAGGAATTAGCTCTTGATCACTGCCTAAAGTTAAAGCACTCTTATATTATACTTGCCAAAATTAGTCTGGTAGTCTGTACCTTTAATTTTGGAGGCCCCAGTAAAATTACTCCATACACACAGAACTCAGCCTCACTCCAAATATCCACAGCCAGTGTTCTAGTACCCCCTGAAAACATTTCAGGCCCTTGTTCCTCCTGGGTAGCCTGGAGAGGCTTAGAATGACTGCTGTGTTCCCAGACAGCAAAATGGATGTGCCTTTCTGACACTCTTAGGAGGTAAGTCTGCCCACTGGATTCAGTTTTTGTTAAGAGGACAAGTTTGTTGAGGTTATTCTTGGATACTAAGCAGAATAGACCTCTTGGGGAACTTTCTTCTTTCTCATGTAGACTATTTCATCAAAATGAAAACAAACAGGACAATCAGAGATGATAAAGAAGTAAAAAATCAGTCATAAATGTGTTTACAAACTCTTTATTAATGAATTCCAAAATTTGGAAGCAATCCAAATATATTTCATTACATGAACAGATGTAATATAGCCAGCTAACATTATTCAGTGCTAAAAATAAAAGAAAGATCAAGTCACAGAAAGATAAGGAAGAAGCAATTGCAAAAAGAGGTGAAATTGATGTTATAAATAAATTTGATTATTTGTATTATTTCTATTGTAGTCCAAATATCCCATGTAAGCCTGTACGTGTTCACAACACACACACACACACACACACACACACACACACACACACACACACACACACACAATTTCTCAGAATTTTCCTTGGCTTTTTTCACTTAGGTATTACATTTTCAAATGTATTTTTTAATACAAAATAGACTTCTGAAGAGATGTTTGTATTAGCATTGTGGAGCTTAAATCTAACTAATGAACAAGGAATATTGGAGACCAATAAAATTTATTTTCAATCTGAAATCTCACTCTTACATAAAACTTTTACCTTCTTAACTACATTCTTAAATGCATTGCTGACTTCCTTGTTCCTCAGGCTGTAGACCAAAGGGTTCAGTGTGGGTATGATCATAGTGTAGAACATAGATGCTATTTTATCTGCATCCATGGAATGAGTGGAGCTGGGTTGTAAGTACATGAAAATGACAGTGCTATAAAATATGGAGACTGTGGTGAGGTGAGAGGCACAGGTGGACAAAGCCTTTTGGTGTCCCCTGTCTGACTTCATCTTCAAGATGGTAATAAATATGAAAAGATAGGAAACTAAGATAATCAGAAGAGCAAAGAAAACATTGAAGGTTGACAAAAAAACAAGAATCACTTCACTAAGGTGTATATCAGAGCAAGATAGAGCTATGACTGCTGGAACATCACAGAAAAAGTGATGAACCACATTGGATTTACCAAAAGAGAGACTGAATATGCCCCCAACATGAAAAATGGCATTCAAGAAACCACAGATATAACAGCCAATGTTCAGGTGAATACAAACACTTGTTGTCATCCTGGTGGAATAATGCAAAGGGTTGCACACTGCTACATAGCGGTCATAGGCCATTGATGCTAAAAGGTAATTTTCCCCAGTGGCAAAGCCTATGAAAAAGAACATCTGTGCAGCACAGGCATTATAGGAAACTACCTTGGGGACTATGAAGAACTCAGAAATGACTGTGGGAGTGACAGCTGAGGAGTAACCCAAGTCTACAACAGACAGGTTACAGAGGAAAAAGTACATGGGTATGTGGAGATGAGAGTCCATAAAAACCAACAGGATCATCCCCAGGTTTCCAACCACATCAATGAGGTAAATGAGGGTGAACATGATAAAGAGGGGAACCTGCATGCCTAGGTCATTGGTTAATCCCAGGAGGATGAAATCTCTTACTTTGGTACAATTCTCCATCAATTATCTGGGAGCCAGTAGATATCCTACAAAAATGAAAATTAAAGGAAAAGGAGAATGATAAGTAAAAATATACTTTAGTTTCAAATAAAAATACAGTGAGTTATCATGCCATTCAAGTTATAATGGTTATTTAATAAATATTTGTGGGAGAGAGAATATAGACAAAATAGAACTATGGAGGACTTATGTGCTGTTTGTGAGATTGTAAATTGCTATAGGCTTTTGCAGACTACTGTATAGGTTCCTCAAAATGCATAAATGGGGGAAGGAGATTTGTAAACAGACAGAGGGGCAATAGAGTAGGAGAGAGATTAAAGAGGAATGATAAGAATCAAAATGGACTCTATACATACATGACACTTTGAAAGAAACAACTTTTCTTTCTGTTTATTTGGGGGGACCAGACAGGGTTTTTCTGTGTAGCCTTGAGTATCCTGAAACTCACTCTGAAGACAAGACTTGCCTTGAATTCACAGAGATCTGCCTGCATCGATCTGCCTCCTGAGTGCTAGGATTAAAAGCATGTGCCACCACTGCTCATCTCAAAGAAACAACTTTGAGTGAAAGTTAAATCCCCCTTCTGGTTATGAATACAAAGTAAGGGTAGTAACTCTATCAAGTTGTCTGCATGTCCATGTTCATTGCACAACACCTTAGAGATGAAATCAGGCTAGAGTTGATTTCCTCAGTAAAAGAGTAGATTTTAAACTAAGAGTAGATTGTACTGAAAACATATATGTAAGTAACATTACACAGACTGATATTATACATGTTACACTTACATATTGGGGGATTAATATAAATATATGTTCATTCCAACAATAAATGGAAAAAGAGAACATGAATCTGAAAAAGAGCAAGAAGGGGAATATGGGCAGGTTTGGGGAGGAGAAAAGGAAGATGGAAATGATATTATTATAATCTCAAATCAAAAGAAATAACCTTTAAAAGCGCTTTAGACACACTTTAGAATATTATTCTGCTAAAGAAAGAATGAAACCTTGCAATTTTCAGCAAAATGGATGGACTTGGGTCTCCGCTGAATAAAATAAGCCAGACACAGAAAGATGAATGCTTATTTGCCTATGGAAGCTTTTTTGAAAAGTTGCTGTGACTACAGGATAGTAATTAACTAGAAGCTAAGGGAAAGCAGAAAGAGGACCTAGAGAATGGCTCAATAACAAGCAACTAAAGCAGTCAGAAGAAATAAGACCTAGAGCTTATATGAGATAAAGTTGTTCACAATAAACTGCTGTATCTTTTATGAAAAATGGGAAGAAATGAGCTTAGGGTGCTATACTTAAAACATTCATTAGCTTTATCCGATCAATACAACTCAACATGTGTGTAGACCTCATAAAGTTTACAATTATTACATTACCCATCAAGTTAAACAGAATGGGAATATAAATAATAAGTAAATAAAAGTGTGTATATATATATATATACATATATCTATACATAGTATTCAATTGATAGTTATTTTATTAAACATTTTCTATAGTTGGAACACATTTATAATACATTAATGCTAATTGGAATCTTAATATATGTAAATAAAACAGACAGGAATGTTGAAATATGTAAGTATCATGTACATAATTATGACATAAATTTATACTTATAAATTCATATATCTAAGAACATGGTTAATTATCTGCATTGTAATTATGTATCGTTAATGATATGATATATAAATTATATAGTTGTTTATAATTAGTGATTATAATTATCTATGTTAAAATATTCCACACAATATTTATAAATAATCTCAGTTTAATTTTACATGTGTATAACAGAGATCTAAGTAATTTATTCATACCAATACAAATATTCACTGATAATTCACCTGTTGAGCCCAGGTATTGGTTTTCAAGTTCACTGTTATTATTTAGATCTAAATCAAGTTTTGTCTTCATAGTCCCCAATTCAGCTTTGGGTTTCACAATTAATTAATAAGAGATATTCACAATAAATGTTTGAGGATAGTGGGGCAGAAGTGAGGTGCATAGCCAGCAGAGGTTGTTTCGAAGGGAAGACATGGCATCAGTTAAGATAAAGACTCTGGGAAGAATTATGTTTTGGTCCATACTACCTGGGCAACATTGCTCTCACTCCAACTTACCCTAAACTCGCTTATGCCAACTTTAAAATGAGTTGTCATAACTAAACAACACATTTTAAAATTACAAATAAAAACTTCAACTAGAGCTAGGTATAATATTTGTAATTATGATGTTTGTGTTAAATTGATAATATGTATGGTTATATGTGTGAATACATTCTGGAAGTCTTGTCCTCTGTAATTTGACTATTGTTCTTATCATTGCTGTGGGGGGGGCGCAAAAACACTCTTACACATAAAATAGAGTTTTTAAAGAATAAAGAATCATATTGTCAATATTAATTAATTTTTAGGATATTTTGTTCTACAACTAATATTAAAATCTTCTCACATGACTGCCATGTGTCTTGCAAGTATTATTAACAACTATAGAGATTAATTTTTTGAAGTTTTGTGATAGTCTATAATTACCAACTACTGTGGAAATTCCTAAAGACTCAAGATGGAACCCAGTTTTAAGCGAATGGGTAGCCAGGTGTCCAGCCACCTTGTTATTGGTCTATTTGGATGTGAAGTTATTTACAGCTAAGTTATGAGTAAAGCACTGAAATTCAGCTGAGTTCTTGCTAACTTATTTAATGCTCTCTGTAAATTTTTTTGAACGCCAATTTACATGTCTGTTACTTTTGTCTGTGTTGTCCCATAAGGAGGTTTGGTAATGGACAAGATAAAAATCCAAGCTGTATAATAGTATTTCCCTTCACATTTGTGTTCATCATCTTAGGGAAGCTGTATGACATTTTGTAAGAATCATTACCCTCACCATTAACAAGTGTTCTAACACCCAACCCCCAAAATCAGTGTATTGCTTTAGAAATGGAAAAAAAAATGCCAACAACTAGTTCAGTGTTCAGACAACTTTTTATATGCACCTATCTCTTTGATTTTACATGTTTTAAACTTTTCACTTAACTATGCGCACAACCTTATATATGCCAATCATACCTCCATAGAGTGATTTTTGTAAGTATTTTTTTAAGGTTTGGAAAGTTAGCTCAGTAAAGTATTAGCCTTGCAAGAATGAGGACCTGAATTCACTCTCAAAAACCTAGGCTAAAAAGGTAAGAAAGGAGCATGCACTTCTACCTACAAAGCTAGGGTTGGAGACAGACCACTGCCGCTTACTGGGAGGCCAGTTTTGCCTGCTTAGAAAGTTCCCCAGGGAAATGAGAGACACTCTCTCAAGAATAGATGAATGGAAGAATGGATGGATGCACAAGGCAGATAATGACACCCAAAGTGGTTCTCTGGCCTCTACATATGCTTACTGGCACTTTCGCACACAGATTAAAAAAAAAAAGTATTTCTGAAAGTTTTATATACAACAGATAGAAGTTTAACTCGCCTCTGCATAAGAAAATATATTTAATCCTAAGTAAAATGTCTGAAATCATCAATTCAATCAGGTAATGAATAACTGCTTACAGAATACTTAAATGATCCTTGTCTCCACAACAAGAAAAAAATAGAAGGAAAAAATATTAACCTTGGACCACATACCTGGGTTCAAGTCTTGAATGTAGCATTTATTCTTACAGTACCCTTGAACTGATCACTTACTCTTTATTTGAAAACTAAGCAAAATAACCCTCCAACATAATTTGCAGAATCATATCAGTAAATAGAAATTTTTACTTAATTTGAATAAAAGGTCTGAAACTCTGGGTTTTAGAAGTCTGAAACTTTGTCATGGAAGAATGTGTATATGTGGAGATGGAAAGATGCCTCAATGGCTAAGAGCTTTGGCTATTCCATAGGACCCATGTTCAAATTCCAGAACCCACATGGTGGATCACAACTATCTGCAATTCCAGTTCTAAAAGATTCAATACCCCCTTCTGGACTCTTTGGGCACTGCATGCATGTGACATCCATGCAGGCTAAAGCACCCACACACATGAAATATAAAGAATAAAAAAGTTTACAAAAAAGGGGCAAATTATTTTGGAGGTGTCATCTTTTGGAAACATCTTCCAAATGTCACTTACCTTACTCCAACTTCAGATTCTTTATTCATGGGCAAAGTATATCATAAACACAGAATTATGTCTCTGAAGAGCAAATAAAATCAGTCTGACAAAACAGTTGTTACTGTAAACTCATTAAGTATAATTATGAGTTGGAGTGTGTTCTGTCCATGTTCACTGTCTAACAAAATCCTCAGTTGGAGGGAGGCTTTCCTATGCTCACTCTCCCATTTAGAAGCATAAATAAAGTAATGATGTGTCTGTCGAACATCTCTGCTAAAAATTATGTCAGACAGAACATCATACTGGGATTTACAGACCAATGAAGGGGACCCAGAGGGAGTTGTAGAAACATGAAGACATCAGGGAAATAGGCTCCCTATGAGGCAACCATGGGGCCTTACTCTATTTCTTTAAGTAGAAGCAATTAAACTGCCTTTGGGACCTAACTTTATGACTGCACAAGCATACAGATGCACCTATGCTTTTCTCTCATTTATGTTTCCCATTAAGGAAACGTATAATATATAGATAAATGTATATTATCACATACCAGTACCAAATTCAACTAAATATATCAGTTCAAAAGACACTTTGGTTTATTTGTAATAAATCAGTTTTCCACCTATCATCAGCTCCCAAAATATACTGGCTTCATCCTTGAATGTTTTCTTTCACAAAAATATAAAACATATTAATGACATTTTACAATATCTAGCATCCAAAGTGTGGATTATTTTCTTTACCCTAGTGTATGTGTTTCATGAATGAGTACTTCATTTCTTTTTATTATTAAATGGTATCTAAAATGTGCAACTACCCAGATTATTTACTGATAAATGAATATATATATATAATATATGTGGTTAATTAAAATTATTCTTTGGAATATATATATATATATA